TAGACTTCAAATTTAAAATATATTCTAAATCTGTTTCAAATGGAATTTTTAAAGCATTAAGATAAAATCTATATCCCATATTTTTTTTTTCAAAGTTACTCATAATAATAAGAGAGATAATAGGGCAATAAAAAACTTTCTTTGCATATATCTAAGAGGCATATCGTTCTATTTCGAAAATACCCAAACATTTGTTTGTCAACTTAATAATGATATTAATTTGACAGTCGGCTCGTTGTGACACTAGTGCAACCCCTTCGACTGGCCATACAGAATCCGTTGTCTGCTATCTGGCTTTGCAATCATTCAATTTCGTTGACCCAACTCATGTTTTGCCTTTGAAACTGCTCTGAGTCCCAGTTGTTCGATTGTGGCCTGAACCTCTTTGTCACTTCCCAAAACATTTTTATTGGCAACATGTCGTATGCGTAATGCAATCGACGCCATAGATATTTATCGGCCTGGCTGTCTGTCTGTCTGTCTGTCAGGCCTTCCATTCTTTCCTGGGATTTCAGCATCAGCGCAGCGCAATGTAAGCCTCGGTGATTCAGTGCCTTTTCAATTTGAATAAAACGAATGTCGCCTAAATATTTGATTTATTTATTTTGACCTTTGTCAAAAGATGCCAAACACGACGCAGCCATAAGCATTTGCTTACTTTTACAGCAGCTGAAAATGCCAGTCGAATTCAATTTGCCCCAACACTAAGTTTATAATTTTCATAGCGATACACACCCATCGCCCCCGGCCCCTTTGTCACATAGAAAAATGCGTATGACAAGCAATTTTCGCTTTATAACTTCATTGCGAGCCAAGGTCAACTCCGAGTCGAGTCGAGTCGAGTATGTATGCCTTTTGTTGTGCTCGAAACCAATTCAAAATAATCTCAGCAATTTCAGTAAATGCGATGGCAAGGTCAACTCAGTTATTTCGCTAACGAACAAATGATTATTACTGCATTACAGCCCCTGAGATACAAATACATAAACACACTGAGTGACAGCCACACACACACACACCCATGTGAGCCGCATGCAGATAAGCAAATCTAATAGAAACAGCTTATAGTCCTGCAGTCCCAGTCCTGCTCCCGCCTCCTGCTCCGTGCCACCCTCCACATCGTTATCGTAAAAGTCAAAGCTTAGCCCAATGTTGGGCTCTTGTGGATGGCTAATTTTAAGGCGACAGTTCGGGACACGCATCTGGGAATAGAAAGCTGAGAGCTAAACAGCGAACCTGATTGGCACAGCTTGGAGAATTCTCAGTGCCCTGTGCGTGTTGAGTGAGCAAAAATCACAGAGTACTTTGAGCTAAGCTGTCATTTGACACGTCGCCTGTGAAGGCATTTTCAATGACAATGTAAATAATTCTATATTATGTAAAGATCCTATTACATACAGCTGATATATTTTTAAATTTTGTACATTTGCAATTGAAGAGTATAAAATAAGAATAAAAAAAAAAATTTAACATTTTAGATTCTCGTTATTGTTTATTCCGTATATAGTTTAAATATGAGAATATATATTTAAGAGTTTATTCATTGTTTATGCCATAAATTTATCAAATGTAAAGTCATCTGTAAAATAACAAGTCATTAAAAGTAATAAAAAAGCTACTTTAATTCGTTTCCCACGAGCATTATTTTCGTTTCTTGTGAAGTATAAAGTCATTCTGAAATTAAAGCTCAATACAGTTGGCAATTATTCTGATATTTTTAATAAATTTCTTTATCAAGGAAGAGAGCCAGAAGCTGTTTTCGTATCGGCGCATAGTTTTTTGAATAGAAACCCTTAGGTATCATATAAGCATTTTATTTATTTAAACACTTTTACCAACCAAAATAAATATAATACAAAATAAGTTTTTATTTATGCCATTTATTTTTAAAACTTCATTTCACATTAGTATACTCTGAAGTCGTCAGCCTACAAAATAGTTTGCAAAATGGCATACATTAACTATAAATAACCTAATAGTTTGAGCTCCTTAACTTAATCCATAAATTTACATGCTCACCTATTATCTTTTTTAAAAATATTTAAAAAATACAGAAAGTAGACACTCTTTACTTTATCTCAAAGTCTTTTATTATTAGCATCTTAAAGTCACACAATATATGAATTGTTTACGAATTCGAAACCTATTATCCTTTCAAATATCTCTCATTCTGGCTCCAAAAAATTGAAATATCTAAAATGGTTAGTACCCATAATATTGTATTATGTTATTAATACTAATATTGTATTATGTTATTATTGTTAGAAGATATATATTTTAGTAGTTATTTCATGTATGTACACATACATGAGAAGCAATTGAACTTTTTGAAATTTTTATATCTTAAACTTCAAAGTAGACTAGCATTTCTTAGAGTATTCCATATGTCTAAATATATCGATAAATCAGAGCATCCATCACACCCCATAGCGTATCATCTGGGCGATCACTTTACCTTGAACAAAGTCAGCTGTGTGTTTGGTCCTTGACAACACAAGGACAAGTAGCCCGTTGTCGTTATTTTGATTCCCACGTAGCTGTCCTTTTTAGCCAACTTAATGTTGGCTGCTTTGTGTTCTGCTTTGTTTTTGTTTTCATTCCTTTTTATAGTTGACCAAGTCAATTGAGTGTAAAACAATTTCATTAAACGCGCAGCCAGGGCGAGGGCCAATAGACGGAAGCGCTGCATGTGTCTGACAATATCTGTATAAGTATATATATATTTATATATACAACATAAAGTTGGTGTATATGTTTGTCTATGTATTTGTATTGAGTAGTCTGGTTCTGGCTTATGCTTTCGCTCCCAGCTTCTCATCATTGTCCCCTTCAGTGCTTCACTTTGTGCTATTTTTATTATCATTTATTGTCTCAATGCGCTGCCTGCAAGGCAGTCAGGGGCGTGCAGGTGGAGTCTGGAGTCTGTAGTCTGGAGTCTGGGAGGAGTTGCTGAACGCCAATGCAATTTATCGCAAACGCTTTGACAACATGTTTGCAGGCATTTTTATCATTTCCGCATATATGTGGTTTCCGCTTGAACTGCAAGCAAACTAAGAACTCGCTTGCTGCTTTATTGCCACAGACGCTCGATTGCTCTCTGTGTCCTTTTACGCCCTCCCACCCAGTGAGATGGGGCTGGGGCTGGTCCCCGGAATATGCGACGATGTTGCCAGGCAGCACACACGCCTTTCCATTTCGACCAAATGAATTGTTTAGGTTTAATTTATTGAACCGAACTTTGGGCGTAAGTTGGTCAGGCGATCGACTCGCTTCGCCTCCTGCACGCCTTGCCACACCCAACATCATGCAGCATGGAAAGGAAGGGACTGAATTTTTGTTTCTGTGGCTGCAGCAGCAGCAGTGCGAACAGTTTGGGTCAAGTGTGTTACAGTTGAGAAACGACTTGGCTGATATGAGTTAAGGCAAGGCAACAAAAAATCTGAAGATAAATTGCGAATGGTTTTGGCATATGAAACATAGAGTTGTGAATGTAAGTTCGAATAAGCTAAAAATGAAAAGAAAAAACTGAATATGGAATGCATAATAAAGACTAATTAAAATATTTGAGAATTAAAAAATTGAATGAATAAAAGGCGTAAATAATAGTTGATATATAAATAATAAAAAAAAGTATTGGAAATTTAGGCTAAATAACAAAAGATATAAAAATTAATAAACAAAACTACAAATATAAGGCCAGAACTGAAATATAAATAAAATAAAATGTGCTAAGTTTTTATTTAAACTAAAACAGAAGCGGATAAATAAAATAAAATATTTCTTACATATATTGAAACCAAATTTATATTTTTTTAATTTTAAAATTTTATTTTTTATTTTTATTACAAGTGTAAATTTTAAGGCAAAAAACTGGCAAGTTGAATTATAAAAATTATATGTAATTATTTTAATAATAATATTGTCTAATTAATTTAAAAATGTTTCTGAAGACTTAATTTGCAAATTAAAGTTTATGTAAAATGATTTCTTAGTTAAAATTTTATTTTATTTTATTGCAACAGTCTCACTCAGCGCTTGCAGCGCTATGGAAAACAATTGTCTTTCGTTGCAACGCGCTGAAGGCTCCAGTGCAGAAATAAAGGACCCCAAAGCCCATATTGTCTGCAGCATGGCTCAGTTTGGGTTGGCGAAAAAAAAAGTAGACGAGAAGAGAAAAGAGAAACAATGGAATAACAGAACGTATAGGCAGCTCTGGTGGCATGGCTACTTGGCTGAAACGCCTGGAGTCCTGCTAAGGGTCAGTAATAAATCTCAGCAGCTTGCGCTGTAACTTAAATTAAATGCTGAAAATCGTTTGGACATTCCTCGCTCATGCAGCGCCTCCCTCTGGCTGACACGCAGCCGAGCAAAAAACCAGCTGAAAAATGCACGCGCTGGCAAATGAAAGGATCCAGCTAAAGTGCAACAAAACGTGTGCCACAAAGCCGAAAGGGAATGGGAGAGAGAAAGATAGAGAAAGAGAGATGAAAGGGGCAGAAAAATTAAATAGAGTTTTCAAAACAAGTGGCTAAATATGCTGCAATTGCTGCTGCCCAGGAGTCGCAGTCAGCCCCACAATTCGGCTCCATTTCCAACATTCTCTCTGTGACTACCTCTCCCTCCCTCTCTCTCTCTTGCTCTGTCTCTCTCTCTCTGTTTCCCTATGTGTTTGCTGGCTTCTTCCATATGCAGAACGGAAAAGTCACGGAGCCAAAAAATGGAAAAACTGCACGTGGCAGTCTGGAAAAAAAATATAGAAAACTGTTGTCTACTTTTTGGAGCAAAGCGTTGAATTTATGACTTCTGAAATTCTGCGTGTTTGCAAAGTCTGAATAGCACAAAAAACATTTATATATATAGAAATACATATATATTTCTCATACATATATAACTCATGCTTCAGATTTCACACACGTGCACTCTGCAAGAAAAACATCCAATAAATTTAGCTATTAAAAAGCCACAAACATAATTCAGCCAAACTTAAATGCTGTTAAGAGGTCAGCATGTTTCACCTCTATTTATTTTCTAATTTAATTTCGATGCTCGAGCCAAAGACTATTTGCATAAATAATTGAATAAATCAATTGCATTTTGCAGGCAAAGCTGCTTACGTGCTCTGTTGGACCTATTTATTAGAATTCAATAATATTTGGCCGTTCTTTTGCCACGTGTAATTTCGTATGATAAGTTGGCATCAATTTACTGGGAAAAACAAACCCAAACCGAAAGCGAAACCAAACCTGAAATTTCTCTTCAAAAGAGTCTGAGTAAGCAAATGTTTGCCCTTTGCACGAAATACATATGTAAAAATTCACTGCGCGAGCCGACATGGCCCAGATGATAAATAATGGCATAGAATCTAATTAGGCTGGCTCCACATTAACTTGAATTTTCCGCAAATCGAGACTCATCTTCTAGGAGATGGCAAATAAAGAGTTTTAATGAATTTACTTTTCTCTGTGCTGGCAAGCGTGGCGTATGAGTAATATACACATTTTACAGCCACAGCCTCAATTCGCAGCTAAATGTGATATTAGTAAAAATGAGCTGAAATCCTTTCGGCTTATCCGCTTAGTCGGAGCCATAAAATTGAAATTATGGCAACTGCCAACTAATGAACAGCAATAAAAATAAATACATGCAGCTTCTTCGTTTCGCGTGCCACCTGCCTGCTGCAGAATGCAACTGCAGTTGGCAGACAAAGTTTCGCTTTTTGTAGCACACCTGAACGACTTTGACGTGGAACTTTGGGCGTGCCCCAACTTTGAGCCGGGCCATTGACGTCGCCCCGCAGCAGAAGCAAAAAACTATGCCCACAACTATGTCAATGCGTTTATATATGGTCGGACTCTGGGCCTGGCCAGCCCTTTGGCATCAACTACTATCAATTTTACGCTTCGCAGCCAGCCTGGAAGCAAATAGCCAAATGAAAGTTTCAGTTTTGCATTGAGTTTATGTTGCGCCACGTCAAAAATGCGACGTAAAAAGAAGGGAAGAAAACTCGTAGCATGCCGCTGTGCGTGCCGCTGTTGAGCGCTCGTCACGAAGCGACGAACGAGACTGAGCTCGGCCGACACGCACTTCGGCTGTGCAGGCCGAAGCGGCAGAGCTTTCGCTCTCTTAAGCTTTGCTCTTTTGTGCAGACCCGCTCTTCGCTGTGCGAGCAGTGCGGCGAGCTATTGCTTGCGCGGCCAGAACGAGAAAGGCATAGCTTGCCGCACTGCTCGCACCACGGAAACAGCCTGAAGTGCCACTTGTGACGCTTTGGCACAACAAATGTTAATAAAGCATGCGACAGAGCCTGCGACTGGCCTGCATGCGACATTTGGCAGGCTCTGTTGATATTGTTGTTGTTATGATTGTTGTTGCTGCTTTAGCTATTGTTGTTGCTGTTGTTTGTCGGCCAGTGTTGACTAGTGTTGACTGGTGTCCTAGTCAGCATTTGCTCTTTGGGGATTTGGCGCTGGCAAATGAAAAGGTTGTGCGACAGTGAAATGCATTTCAAGTCTACACAAGTGGCCAGCGCAGTGTTGTTGCAACACACACTCACACTCACACCCACACTCATACACACTCGCACAGACACATGGCCGACAGCTGAGTGCCATGCATGTTGAGGCATTAAAGTGTGCATAAATGTGGGTTAATGGGTTTTTAGTTGTTCTTTTCATTACGACACATCTGTAAAACTGCCCTCTATATTTGTTTTACTTGTTGTTTTAACAATTATTGTTCCTGCTGCTGTTGCTGCTGCACGTTGCTCGTGCGTAACACTAAATGCTAATCGAATCGCCAGGCGGACATATTTACATGGGTTCGTAGTGCTGTCCAATATGTGTTGCGGAAATTAGCATACGACATTAAGTGCAGTAAGATGCGAGTGAGTGGGAGCAAAACGTCTCTTACAAATATTGGTTCTTATTAAAACGGTGCTTTAATCAGGTGCTCAGCTAAACGCTTTAGCTTGAATTTAAATATTTTGGCATAGCTTAACTGTAATAAATTCTTATCGAATATTTTTTGGGGATTGTACCATAATTTATAGATTATTCATTGTAAAGCAATGGATTAGATAATAGTGTAAAATATATTAATATTTTCTGTATAATCCACTTTGTAAAAGAAACTATTTAAATAATTTTGTTTAATTAATTCAACTTACTCATTTCTGTTATGGTAAAATTCAGTGTAAGCCTTTAAAGTTAAACCTCTATTTCAAGAGATTCAATCTATTGTCTAAGCTGAAAACAGTGCTCAAAAGCACAATATATTGAAAGCCTTGTATAAATTGTGTCGCTCCCTGTCCTTTCACCTAATATCAGTTTGATTGTGTACTAAAAGTTAATTACTCTCGCAAAATAAACCAGGGTAACCAGCATTTTAATATAAAGTGCTGCCAAATTCCGCCAAAATACTAGCTGCACATTTTATTTTAGCATCCCATGCCTCTCCTCACACTCTCTCACACTATACCTGTCCCATGCATTTACCACCACATGACAATGGCAAACGGAGTCTCGTATGGCTCGCTGCACAGCTAATTGAAACTTAATTTTAAATAGTCGTGCGGAAAAGTTGGCGCTGGAAATTCGGCGAGGTCAGTTGGCGTAGTTGGCGTGGTTGACGTTGTGCAGCACTTGAAAGTATGATTATGCTTTGGCGTTACGCAACACTAATTAAACTGCATGTGGCAGGCTTGAGAGTTATGCATTTCACAAATTACACATACGCACCGTTGCCCGTAAAAACGTCCGTCCAAATGCGCATTTACCTAATTGAACATGTGTTTGCCGGAGCTGCCTTCAGTGGCTCTGGGTGTGGTTGCGGCGGTTCCAGTGGCTGGATGTTGGCTTTTGTTGCATTCTTTTTAGTTCATTAATTCGCTTGGCTCTGGCCGCTCTTGGTCAAATTCAAATTAAAAGGTCACTAGATAAACATGCCCATGTCTGTGTGAGTGTGTGTGTGTGTGTGTGTGTATGTGTACCCTGTTGTATTTGGGTGTCCTTTGGGTTAATTTGAATATTTTTGTTTGTTGTTTCTCGCATGGCGCCCTGTTGTTGTTTGGCGCTCAATTTATGGGCGATAGCGGAAAAACTGCAGTTTAAAAGGCAAAACAAAACAAGCAAAAATACAAAAATAACAAGGCATGCAAATTGAGTTATAAATTTGAACCCGCTTTGCTTTTAATGCAAACATTGCAGCATCCAAGCCAGGTGTGTGGGAAGCTGTGCTCGCTGGAAATATGTTTACTAATTAAAACTTTGACTTTTTCATAATTGAAGTCGCCTTCAATGGCTGTCAGCTGCGCAGCCTGATTTACTACTATCAGGCCAGCTCTCTGACATCAGATTGACACACGTAATTATCAGCCCGCAGACTTGACAGACAGCACTGAAATTATCATCTTTGACTTTTCCATTCTCAAGGACGCACAGCTATGCCGGGGGACGATGGAGAGGCACCGACACCGAATCTCAATTAAATTAATGAGTTTTGGGGGCATTGAATGAATAAACAGTTTTTTAATGGTTTTATTAGTGAATTTTCGATCAACGTTTAATTTCTTTTAATATTAAATATTTTATTTTATATATCAATGAATATTAAAGCTAATTTTCTACTATTTTCCGATAGTCTTTTTAGTTCTCCCTATTTTAAAATTCAAAGAAAAACCAGTTTCCACATAGCTGTATTTACTATCATATAGCCAGACTTTTAGCCACATTATGGCTAAAATCAAATGATGTCAGAAGGGCGTTAAAACTTTGTTTAAACTTTGTTGAAATGGAGATAATTCGCCAACGCGCCAATACTCAACATCAGTCCTAAGAGTGGCTGTAATTTCATCATTATGTTGATAAAAGTTGTCCGTGTTACATGCACCATGAGGCATGCAGCATTCTATAGCCGGGGGCAGAATTTTACTAAATCCGTAGTAGGCCGTTGCAACGGTCAACAAGTTTTAGCATTGCCGAGCCGCATCCGGGGCGCAGATACTGAAATCCCTGCAGCAAGCAGGAAAATTATCAAACAATGCAACGGCAGCACAACAGTCAGCAAGGGGCAACAGGCATTTACGGGGCGGGCCAACAAGTGACAACAGTGCTGAAAGCCTGTGAATACAGCCATGAAATGGCAAGCGCCGCCCGAACTAAGCCAGTACACAAAACAAAAAGGACAACGAAAGCCAACAGCAACAACAACAAAGACAACAACAAGAACTACAACAAATTGGCATAGAGCCGGACAATGGACGCGTCAGTCGCTGGCCTCAAGCGGTGCAAACATGGCAAAAATGTCATGGAAGCAAGCGACAGGACAACAAAGTATCAGCCGCTGAGCAGTCGGTGCCAGCCCGTACCTAGTTAGTTGAAAAATGCGCCCAGCCTAGGCTCAAGCAGTCGGCTGAGCTGTGGAGTCACGTGTTTGCTCTTACGGCTTTGCCAGTGCAAGCCGGACATCAAACTATGAATGCACCGCCCGACAGGCAGCACAGCATGCACTCAAACCAACAACAAATGGGGGTGATTTAATTGATGAACTACAGCATACCCTGCGGGCAGTTCATTAGCTGTAAAAGAGCAAAATGAGGTGAAGGTATAGTCAAGTGTAGTGCTATAAGTCGATTTTGATCCACTTATGTGATGCAAAGCTAAAAGGAAATGTAGAAATGTCTTACATATATATATATTATTTACAAGGAAAATCCAGCTGATCCCACGACAGTGGACAAATTAGCATAGCATGTAAACAAAGATCTCGACAATTTTTTTCTGGACAAAAGGCAAGCCGATTGCTCAAATAATGAAGAGTATTCCGAAGAGGCTCAGCAGCAACTGGACTACGGCTAGCAACTGATCCGATGTGCTTTGCTTCGGTTCGATGGCAACAGGCGAAATGCAAAAGCTGCATAAGAATGTACGCATGTACTTTCTTTTTCTTTTATCAAAGTTTAGCCTTTGCTCCTGCTTCGCTTTGTAATATGCATGACGTGCTGGCAGTTATTTGAGCTAGGAAATTACAAGGCTCAGTGGCAATATAAACTGGAAATAGTCAAGATGGACGTTCAGTTAATATGTCATAAGTAAACTGATGTGAAATTTGTAAATGGTCTCTAGAAATTCCAGCGACCTATGGGAAATTCCATTAATAACCGACTACTTGCTCGAGCACGTGTATTTTATGGCTTTAGATCGAATACATATTTATGTTGCGCATTATTATGTGACGGCTGTTGATTTCGTGTGATAACTCTCAGAGTTCGTTGACTTATTGGAGTGCACATTCCCGATTCGTATATGCAAAATAGAAAAGTATCTAATGACCTATCGCTTAGCTATATTATATCTGTATTCATAATGTTGTTCAGGCGCCACTTTTCCTTTTCGGTGAGCTGAAAGAAGTACTTGGACGTGTGCTTCACCTCGGTCATGTTGTGCAACGGTGGCCAAAATGTCGTATAAGCCACACAACTACATGGGAATATAAAATGATATAAGTGATTGAGGAAATTTAAAAGTTTTTCGTGATTACCGCATGAAATAACAAGCATCGGATGCAGTCCTTTGGAAGTCAATGTTTTGTTTGATCTCGTGCTCCAGTTGCGCTTCGTATGCCCTAATCGAGTCCTGATACCGCTTGGCGCATATCATCGGACTATATCAAGATCATGAACAGATATTATTCTCCATGCTCTTAAGAGTCCTATACTTACACTTACTAGGGTATCTTGAATTTCCGGAAGCTGGGCTCACGATCGTACATATCGGGAGTATCGTTTGGCTTGTACTTTTCATCATATATTATCATATCCATATCGACTTTAGGTCTGGGTGGATCGTTCGGATTGCGGTGCTTGAAGCGATGCAGCGACTTGTTCACGTCCACATTCGGCACCTGTATAGTAGTGGTGCGACGCAAGGCAAGGGGACTATTTCCTGTATACAGCTTGGACATGGACTTAGCGCGCGAGGATGCTGTGCCCAGTAGCAACATGGAATTGACTTCAGATACAGCTCGATTCTTCTCATCGCTTGTTTCTCTACGCTTATCATCAGTTCCTTCCTTAGACTTTTCATCCAATGTGTCTTTGGATTTGTCATCAGTTACCTCCTTCGATTTGTCCTCAGAGTCCATTTTGAATTATCTTTGTTTATATGTATGTGCCCGTATACAATAATACTGTATAGAGAATATGTATATTTTTTTGTTTTGTTTCTTAGGTTACGTGTACTGTGTTGTTTGTTGAGTATTAGAGCAAAGTCTGCTAAGCTTCCTAGTTTTGTCAACTTGAGTGACTTCTATGTAAAAGTTAGAAAGCTCTAAAGAGTACTCGAATAGAAGATGCTTTAAATTCTAATGCATATTCAACTTTGACTAAAAGCTAAACAATTAGAATAAAACTGTTTTTAGGCCTACACTGGGCAACGCGCAATACCGTACCAAAGTTTGTACAAAAAATATGTATTATAAGAGATAAGAACTTATGCCTTTATTGTATTTGGTCACATGTATAGGAAAAATTTGTGCGATTGATTATCTGTAAATATCTCTGCCTTACTTCAATGAAATAAATTGAATTCTTGAATGTGAAACTTAATTTTCATTCGTATGCAAACTCTTTCATTTATAGTCCACATTTGCAAATAAATTTTAATTTTTAAACAAATTTAATAACATTCAAGGTTACTAAAAATAAAAGTAAGAAGACTCTAGTCGAGACTGCTCGACTAGGAGATACCCTGAACCCTC